ATGATGAAATCATGTAATTAAAACATGTAAATCACGTAACGAATTGTTTCAAATCAATACGTAATTTTTTAAAAATCACATGATGATATGTTCTTTTTTCTTCTATTTCTATTATTCAATACTTTAAAATTCGATAACTAAAATCACATGATGGATGAAATTATTTTTAGTATTATGTGATTTTTCAAATTATGTAATTTTAAGAAATCACGTACTGATTTGGAACAATCCGTTACATGACTTACATGTTTTAATTACATGATTTCATTATGTAACATTGTGACATGATTTTTTTTAGTAAGGATCCGTTTAACGAATGCAACTGCATTGACGACGATTCAAGATATCGGTGGTGAAATTATCAGTAAATTAGATTGCCCGGATTTTCCGAGGCTTCCATAAGCGAATTGCGAAGCCCGGTAAAAATCACACCGCTGCAGAATTCCGTTGTTCTTCGCCTAGGTGAGTACCATATTTGAACTCTCTCCACGATTTATTCTTTTTGTACATTTTACTAGTTAATAGTGACGATTGCAAACCGATTTAATCATAAAATAATAATAATAATTATTTAATGCAAAAATTTTAATAAGATCATAGAAAGATTGATTTATGTAAAGCCTCAAAATAATTTTTTTGCATTATAAAGCTGCAAATAATTAACGATTAATTGTGAATGTTATTAAATAGAACGCAAAAATTAGCTGTAAATTTTTCATATCTTTGCAAGAATGTGAGGACAATGTAAAAATCGTGCAATCATTATATTGCAAAATATGAAAATTTATTGTTGCTTTATGTTAGCATTAAATCGTACGTTACAGTGATGTTTGAGTTTTACTGGAATGCAATTACGCTGCATTTCCTCTCAAGAATGATTCTGTGCGCGCATCCATGCGTTATATTTTGCGGAAGATTCATTTAATTGCGGCGTTTATTTGACTGTGATTGTGAAACATCTACTAATACATATTAACGGAACAAATGAAATTTTTCATTAAACGATTCATAATCTACGCTTATGAATTGTTTTATATTTTCTTAATTTTAAATAAATTAAATACGTTACGTAGTATGAAAATAAGAGATATTTACGTTGTAAGAAATCGTATTGGATACTTAAATATGATTATTCACAATTTTATTTGGCAACTTATGAATAATTTATGTGATATTTTAGTCGCAATATCTCATATATGATTACTCTAATTAGTGATATTGTAATAAATGGTCAAGAAATACTGATAACGTTGAATCCCAATGAGAATTGGGATATCCTGTTGCGATAATTTAACACATTCAAATAGAATTGATAAATAATACTATACATCCTGCGTGTTAAAGTATCGCACACGGGAAGAGATACATTTATTAAATTTAAAAGGATTTATTTTTTAATTAATATATTAACTCAACGTATTTTACAAATTTTTAAAAAAATATTAGGTTAAGTAAAAAGTCATCGCGTTTTTTTAAAAGACATCTATCAGTAAAAACCGCAATTACTTTCTTACCAACAATATAAATATATCTTAATAGAATAAAGTTTCAGCTTTAAAAATCTCTTTTTTAAATTATACGATACGACA